ATGGTGGATTAGAAGTGTCCACCTCCTGAGAATCAAGGAGCGGGGAGGTGTAGATTAAAATGTGCTCTTTGAGGTCTTGCTCCATTAAGGTACTTCTTCAAAGTGGGCCTCATTCCTCTTCTAGTCTGCTTTCTGTTGCTGTGATAAACACCACAACCAAAAGCAGCTTGGGGAGGAAAGGGTTGATTTTAATCTTACACTTTCCGGGTTAATAGTCCATCGCAGAGGGAAGTCAGTGCAGGAATCCAATCAAGACGGGAACCTGGAGTCAGGAATTGAAGCTGAAACCATGGAGAAATACCGTAGCTCGATCGGCTGCCCTTCCTATACCGCCCAGGCCTACCTACACAGTAGGCAATGAAGAAAATGCCTCACATTTTCTTCCCAGGTCCCAGGCCAAGGTCACAGGTCTGATCTAGGGGATTCTGCAGTTGAGGTTCCCTCTCCCCAAGTGATTCTAGTCTGTATCGAGTTGACAAAACTAGACCGTGCATTCCCAACTATCACTAACCTTCCTATCAGTATGAGTTCATCAAAGATTTAATCTATTGATGAAGCAAATAACCTCTTATCCCAATCTCAATAGTACCCAGCTGGGGACCCAACGCTCAGCACATGAGCTTTGGTGGGATAGAATTTCATATTCACATCATAACCACAGGTGAATACCCAGTTTTCTGGCACCACTTGCCATAACTATTCTTTTAAACAACAATCAGTAAATATCAGTAGACATGAACAGACTAATATTAGGAACCTTAGCTCTGTTCTTCTGACTAGTATGTCCGTATGTCTGTCTCCTTTCATTAGCACATCTCCTTGATTGCTATATCTGTGTAGCAATATTGGAAGCTAGGAAATGGGAAGCTTCTAAAATCTGTTCTTTTATTAACGATTTGGGGCTATTCTGGGCTTTTGTGTTTTCGAATGAGTTCTAGAATTGGCTTGTCAATTTCTACCCCAAAAAGGGGGAGGTAGCTATAATTTTGACTATGATTGTGTGCAATTAATTTAGCGTGCACAGGAATTACTACTTTTGCTTAGCTGTAATAAATGTCTGATGTGGGTGATATGGGGGACTTGGGGGGCATTTTGATTCATTATTTCAGAGCGTTTGGTCCATAGTTGCTTGGACTCATGCCCTGAGCAGATGAGAACATCATAGTGGGAGGGCACATGGAAGTATGGTCCTCAAGCAGCACAGAGAGGATGGAACTGGGAACCAGATATAACCTTTGATGGCATGTGTGAAGTGATTCACTTCTTCCAGATAGGAACCACCTTCTAAAGCTTCTGCTTCCTTCTGAAACAGCACCACCAGCAAGGGACCGAGCACTCAAACCTATGGAGTGGACCTACAGAGGACATTTCATATTCAAACCATAGCATTCTTCCCCTGGCCTCCCAAAATGCATGGCCACCTCATAATGCAAAAGGCATTTAGCTCATCTCTAAGGGTCTCCGACATCTTAAAAAGATTCAGCATTGTTTAAATATTCAGGATCAACGATTCCTTGAGACTCAAAGCAAACTTTGAGTCACAGTGACTGGTCTCTGTAAAACTAAGAGGGAAATTACATCCACTAGTCTACAACAGCACAGAGTAAACATTCCAAAAAGGAGTAATGGGGGACATATAAATGAGGAACCAAGATAAGACCCAAACCCAGCAATGTGTACTAAATTCTGTAGCTCCAGGTAAGTTGTATCTGGGGCACATTGCAGTGGTATGATCTGGTCTGAGACGGGCTTGAGAAGCCTCAGCTGTAATGGCTTTCCTTTTGCAACCCAGCCGGTTCCTTCCTTGGGCTGGCTCTGCACACTACTCACTTTCCTCATTGGATGCTGATGTTTCTAGCATCCCCACCATCCTGACATTTTAGGTGTCACCCTCACGAGTATTCTAAGCCAGTCACACACTGCCTGGCCTCTTAGGCCTTCCAATATGTGAGTGGAAGCCTCTGTGGCCCTATAACTCTTCATCCACTCTGCATGCTTGCTCTGTTGACCCGCTCTGTGGCCAGTGAGGCTAAGTCCCTGAGGATGGAAGGATATTCCAAAGATCTGAGAGGGGATAACCAGAGGACGCCTGGCCTTTGAGCTCAAGAGTAGTACAGACAAAGCATTTCTCATGTTTAGTATCAAGGCAAGCAAAACATGAGGTGATGTTTACAGTTAGCTTAAGCAAATATGAGTACAGTGAGGGAATTGTCTTAGTCACTCACTGTTCTATTGCTGTGAAGAGACACTGTGACCAAGATAATTGCTATGAAAGGAAGCATTTAATTGGGGGATTGCTTACAATTTCAGAGGTTTAGTCCTTAATCATCATGGTGGAATGCAGGCAGGTGCTGGAGCAGTAGCTGAGAGCCACATGCTGATCTGTAGACAGAGAGGGAGACACTGGGCTTGGCATGGGCTATTGAAACCTCAAAGCCCATTCCCAGTGACACACTTCCTCCAACAAGGCCACCCATTCTAATCCTTCTAATACTTTCAACGAGTGCCACACCCTGGTGACTAAGAATTCAAATAAATGAACCTATAGGGACCATTCTTATGCAAATCACCACAGAATACACCTGTAGTTATGTCTTATCATCATCGGTCATATGAAAGGAACCAAGAATATTCCTCCCAGGCCTTTGCCTTTCCCACAGAGATTATGTGGACATGCCAGGGCATTCCTTTCATGTCGTTGCTTATGATGAGTATATCTATTTATCATAGTTCTGCAATTCTTTTTAGAAAGTCACGTTGTGGAAAGAACATTCTGCACTCTGCCCCCATCCATAGTTTACTGTAAATTCAAAGTTCACAGCTTTCTTTCTTTTTTTTTTTTGGTTTTTTGTTTTTGTTTTTGTTTTTTGGTTTTTCAAGACAAGGTTTCTCTTTGTAGCTTTGGCAATCCTGGAACTTGCTCTGTATATCAGGCTGGCCTAGAACTCACAGAGATCTTCCTGCCCCTGCCTCCTGAGTGCTGAGATTAGAGGCATGCTATCACTGCCCGGCTAGCTCACAGCTTTCTTACACAGGGTCTGACGATGCTAACCCAGCATGGTGTGGGTGACACTATGATCTGCCAACAGCTTAACTAGTAGTTGACTCCCTGTGGACCATGGCCACATTGGCCTCTGAATACCTGCAGAGGGAACATGGTTAAAGAAATGCAGGGGAAAACCCTTTCTAGACAATCTTGTACAACCAAGGTGCCCCTGAAAAGCTTTCTTCTTGAGCAAACCTCTTGCATGAGTTTATGCTTTCATGCCTTTTACCCTGCAATGGGTGGGTGGAGCCTGGCAAGTATTTAAAATGCCCTTAGAGCATCTTCTCTATTGTCTGGATGCAAAGTCCTAGGCTTCCTTGTTTTTTTTGTTCGATTAGTTGGTTTAGGTTTTTCAGAGGGTTTTTTTGGGGAGGGGGTGCACTTTCTTTTCTTTTTCTTTTTCTTCTTTTCTTTCTTTCTTTTTTGTTTCCTTGGAGACAGAGTCTCACTTTGTAGTTCTGGATGTTATAGAACTTTCTCTGTAGATTAGGCTGGCTTCAAAGATTCTACAGTCCCCCTGCCTCTGCCTCTTGAGTTCTGGTATTATGAGTATGCACAACCAAGTCCATCTTGGCTTTGTTTTCATTGTACTAATCCTATCAGGAATCATGTCTTTCTTAGCCCCAGTTCACAGAAGCCATCCTGACCAAAATGCAAGTTTTAACAGGCTCTACCTTTCACTCCAAATTCTACTATAAACTTTGCTAAAACCTACCATCAATACCCACACCAAAACCTAAATCCTGGGTTCCCTTGAGATGCTCTCATCCAAGTTAATTAGTGGGTCATCGTTAAACCTAGCATCCCACAAAGCCTTTGGGATGTTCTTTGCCACAGTATAACAAATGGTAATTAGTCTAATTATCAACAGTCTTTGTGCCCATACCACACCTAACAGCGGTCTTCACATTCTTTATTCATGGAAGAGCTATTTCACCTCATGAAGGAGAGGAAACAGAGAGAATGGGGGACCAGGGTCTAGGCTCCTTCAAAGACACATCTGAATGAACCAATTTCTTCAGCTAGGCCTAATCATCTGTTTCTGCCATCTCCCACAACAGCATTGCTCTGAGCCTATGAGGACATTTCATTCTCAAAATGTGGCAGAAATGCTACAGACAAGGTAATTTTCATAATTTAATTTTTGAAATGTTCACTGATGATTTTCAGGTGATCTTGTCTCCTACACTTTGCTGAAGTCATTAAAATACCTGTCTGTAGATTCTTTAGAACTTTCTGAATCATGGAATATTGCCTGTAAATAAAGACATCTTATTTCCAGGTGGGATGCTGTCTTCCTTTCTCGCTTGGCTAGAATCCCTGGTACACAGTAGCAGTTCATGAGAACAAATGACCTTGTATTATGCCTGAACTTGGAAGCTTTGAGCATTTTACCATCAAAGATGGCACCTGCTTTGGACTTTTATAGATGATTTTTTAAAAATCAAACTGAGGGGGTTCCCTTCCCTTTCTGGTTTCATGCACTTGTTTGTCAATGTTCATTTGTTTTTACATCACAAATGGATATTAGCTGATTTTGAAATTTAATGTGATACTCATGGTTTTGTCTTATCCCACTGGTTTGAAAAAACATGGCCCCCATAGGAAGTGGCATTATTAGGAGATGTAGCTGTTAGAGTAGGTGTGGCTTTGTTGGAGGAAGTCTGTCACGGTGGGGGTGGGCTTTAAGATCTCCTATGCTCAAGCTACAACCAGTGTGGAAATGGACTGCTTCTGCTGTGTGCGAATCAAGATGTAGAATTCTCAGCTCCTTCTCCAGCACCATGTCTGCCTGCATGCCACCCACCATAATGATAATGCACTAAACTGTAACATAGCCCCAACTCAATGTTTTCCTTTATAAGAACTGTCGTGGTCATGGTGTCTCTTCACAACAATAAAAACCCTAACTAAGACATCCACTGATACATGTATTGGTTTTTAAAGTCTGCTGAGAGGCTGCACCATTCCTGGAGGCTCTGGAGTATCAGGTGAATGTGTGGAATGAATTGAGCAATTTCATCATTCTGTGCCCCAAAGTCATTTAATATATTGTGCTCAGACTGAGGATGTACCTGACCTTAAATCAATAACAACAGATATTACATTTGATCTTAGCCAAGGGGCTGAGATGTGATAGGAACTAATTTCAAATTAAGCTGCCTGTGTATTAGTGATAAACTTAGTTTGGTCAAATATACTTGTATGTGTTGTTGAATTCTGTTTTCTAGTCACATCTAAATTCTTTGGGAATTTTGAGTTAGAGAGCTATGAAGATACGATGTTATTGTATATATGGTGTACATATATGATATATATGTGTATATAAATATGTGTGTGTATGAGAGAGAGAGAGAGAGAGAGAGAGAGAGAGAGAGAGAGAGAGAGAGAGAGAGAGAGAGAGATCTTCCCTAAAGCAAAAAATGAAAACTCTGAACTTCTACCTTTCTGTCTTGGTGCTGACTCTAAAAAAAATGCTATGACCTACCCTTTTCTGATAGCAGGTTGTAAAACCCTCCCCATTCCAAAGGAGAAGCAACCTAGACAGCACAAAATTGAGGCAGGCAACCATTTCTCTTCTTTGATTCAGTTATTTAAGACAGGTCACGAGCCGGGCGGTGGTGGCGCACGTCTTTAATCCCAGCACTCGGGAGGCAGAGCCAGGCGGATCTCTGTGAGTTCGAGGCCAGCCTGGACTACCAAGTGAGTTCCAGGAAAGGCACAAAGCTACACAGAGAAACCCTGTCTCGAAAAACCAAAAAAAAAAAAAAAAAAAAGACAGGTCACGAATGCTGAAGAGGACAGGATTTTCTGGGTTCCTTCACCCAAGCTGTTGGTGATGGGTTATACAATGATTCCTACGCAATGCAGTCCTCATAGAAGCCCCAAAAGAAAGAACAGGGCTTGGTAGGTTTAAGGCTAACTAAATCCATGAAGGTTCTAGAAAGGTGAGACTCTCGGAGAACACATAGAAGCTCAGCCCCCATTCCCCCTGTGTCGCTCCACCTGCATCCTTTATAGGATTCTTTTTTAAAAAAAAAAAATCAATAAATTGGGGCTGGAGAGATGGCTCAGTAGTTAAGAACACATAGTGCTCTAGCAGAGGACCGAAGTTTAGTTCCCAACACTCATGTTGTTTAGCTCACAATTGCGTATAACTCCAGCTCCAGGGATGTACTGGGTAGATTTATGACAACTTGACACAAGCTAGAGTCCTCAGAGAGGAGGAGCCTCAGTTGAGAAACTTCCTCCATAAGATCCGGCTGTAGACAAGCCTGTAGGGAATTTTCTTATTTAGTGGTTGATGAGGGAGGACCCAGACCATTGTGGGTGGTGCTATCTCTGGGTTGCTGGTCCTGGGTTCTATAAGACAACAGGCTGAGCAAGCCATGAGAAGCAAGCCAGTAAGCAGCACCCCTCTATGGCCTCTGCACCAGCTCCTGCCTTTAGGTTTCTGCTCTTTTTGAGCTCCTGCTCTGACTTCCTTTGATGATGAACTGTGTTGTGAGAACACAAGCTGAATAAAACCTTTCCTCCCCAAGTTGAGCTGGTCATGATACTTCATCACAATTATAGTAATTCTAATTAAGAAAAGGGAGATTCTACACCTCTAGCCATGGATACCCACACACATGTGCATAAACACACACACACACACACACACACACACACACACACACACACAATAAAATAATAATAGTAAATGAAATTTTTTGGTTTTTTTTTTGTTTTTTGTTTGTTTGTTTTTTTCGAGACAGGGTTTCTCTGTGTAGTTTTGGTGCCTGTCCTGGATCTTCCTCTGTAGACTAGGCTAGCCTCGAACTCACAAAGATCCGCCTGGTTCTGCCTCCTGAGTGCTGGAATTAAAGGCGTGCGCCACCACCGCCCAGCTGAAAATATTTTTAAAAGGAAAACAATCTCTGTGTGTTTTCCTAAGCATGGGAGGCATCAATAAATTAGTTGAACTCAGAGTGATAGTGAAACTGAGTGTGGCAGATTCTCAATCTCAATCAGCATAAAGCCAAAACAAGTATGGCTAAGGAACAAAAGGCAGAGAAAGCTGTGTCCCTTGCAGCAATAATGAGACTGTGAAAGTCATTTGTAAAGCAACATCTTTCCTTGAACTAAGGAACCATGGGGGTATTAATCATGTAGCCTATTCATATTCATGGAGAGGAGCGATTTACTAGTGGGCACCCTTCTGAGCATGCTCAGTTTAAGGTCTAATTTAAGAAGGAGAGAGAAACATATTTATGGGCACACTTAACTCAAGGTCATGGAATATGTGTTTTGACTCTATAAATGGTTCCTATGCATATGTGCATATATAAAAGTAACTTAAAGAGTTCTCATACGATAGGGGAGGCAATGCCCAACTAGACACCATATGCTATGAAATACAAACCACCAGTACCGGAAACGGGTTACATCTTGTTGAGCCATTGGCCAAAGGGATCCCATGGAAACCCCCAAACATCACAGGCTATTGTCAATGCTACTGGTTATCCTTTACACCCTGATGGTAAGACCACACTGCTGTGACTTACGTCATTGTGGTGAAATTGGGCTGGTGCTCAACCAGAGGCTTCACCCCTACTCCCTAACATTCATAGTGCTTGAAAGTATTATACACGCTAAACAGAGAAGAAAAGTTATCATCAGTCTTACCCAGCTACATACCATTGAAACTACAGAAGTGACCTACCTATAAGGTATATCCACTGATGAAATAGTGGCACAAACATTATGGGAATAACCAATCACTTTTTAAAACTGACTCCTTGAAATGGAACCCATATCCAACACTGTTAATGAGGCCAAGAACCTCAGACTAGATAGGTCATGAGCCCTAGGAGAAAACCTATTATTCTGCTAAGTGAACATAGCAATAAAATGCTCCTAATGACATATTGCTAGACCCATAGATCAGTGCCGTGTTCAGCTCTCATCAGAGAAGTTTTTCCATGCAGTAGATGGTGATTAACACAGAGGCCCACAACTGACAATGTGCAGGGAGTGAGAGACTTTGAAGTCCTCAGCCCTAAATGAGATGTCTTCATCACAGCCCTCCTCTCAAGGCTCAGAGAATCATGCAGAAGAAATTGTGGAAAGATTGTGTCAGAGGTGACAGAAGACTCCAAGGAAACAGGATCTTCCAGACTCAGCAGGACTGAGGTACATATGAACTCACAGAGGTTGTGGTGGCATGCATACAACCTGTACAAGTTCAAGCCAGACAAATTTCCAGCACAGAGAAGAGGAAGTGGGTACAGAGTCCCACCCCTAACCAAATATATACTTATAATTGATGGCTGCTGGAAGTGGGGGAATTAGTTTTCTTCAATGGAGTGATACTGGGTGTATCAACCATATTCCTCGGAAGGCCTCATGCTCAGGACTTAGCCAACACAAAGCAGATCCTATGGTTTTTGTATATGTGTGCCTTTTATGTTTTTTTGTTTTCATTTTTTTAAGAGAGAGCATGGAGTGGGGCAGATAAGGAGTGGAGGGATGATCTGGAAGAAGCTGTGAGAAGGGAATGAATATGATCAAAATATATTGTCTAAAATGTTTTCAAAGGTTAAAATAATGGGCAGGCATGCCACCGGGCATGCTCAGCTCATGTCATAAAATTTTAACTGTGGATAAAGGAAAGGACAATTCGACAGACCATTAGTAGTTTGCTCTCGAAGGTGCTAACGCTGGGAACCCTAACTTGTGGTCAGGAGCTCAGGGAAAACTACCTGGGGCTTATAATGGCATCTGAGATGGTGGCAGTTTGGGAAACTGAGTCCTAATCTGTGGAGTTTGGTGATGGCCAAGTAAAGTGGAGGAAGTGAGTTAAATGGGGTGATACCCAGGGATAATCTGTAGAAACCATTGCCTGCTTCTTGGTGGGAAGAATGATCCTTGATAGTCTGAGAACATGGAAATCTCTGTTGATCTCAGTGGAATGAGAAGAAAAGAGAAACATGGTCTGTGGGTTTTTGTTGGTCTGTTTGTTTATTTGTTTGTTTTATTGCTGTTTTTGTTGTTTTCCAAAACAGTAGTTTGGAAGAAATTGAGGATTGTAATAGTTTGTCTTCGTTTGGATTTCTTTTTTTTTTTTTTTTTTTTTGTTTTTCGAGACAGGGTTTCTCTGTGTAGCTTTGCGCCTTTCCTGGGACTCACTTGTTAGTCCAGGCTGGCCTCGAACTCACAGAGATCCGCCTGGCTCTGCCTCCCGAGTGCTGGGATTAAAGGCGTGCGCCACCACCGCCCGGCTCGTTTGGATTTCTAATCCTGTGACGAAAACAGACTTAAGCAACTTGGGGAGGAAAGAGTTTATTTGGCTTACACTTCCATTTGGCTGTTCATCATAGAAGGGAACCAGGACAGGAACTCTGGCAAGAACCTGGGGGCAGGAGCTGATGTAGAGTCCATGGAGGGGTGCTACTTACTGGCTTGCTCCTCATGGCTTACTCAGCCTGCTTTCTTGTAGAACCTAGAACCACCAGCTTAGGAATAGCACCACCCACCATGGGCTTTACCTTTCCCCATCAATCACTAATTATGAAAATGCCTTATAGCCCGATCTAATGGAGGCATGTTCACAGTGGAGGTTCCTTCCTTTCAGACAATTCTACTTGTGCCAAGTTCGCATGAACTAGCCAGCATATAGTTCTTTTAATGTTTGGTAGATATTATTAGTGAAGCTACCTGCCCAGGTCTTTTCTTTGGAGAAAAATTAAAAATCACTAAATTAATCTATTTGTTACCAGTTCTTATCTCCATACTGGGTCCTTTTCCCTCTCTCAGAATGATGGAAGCAATACAATCAGCACCAATGGAATATTTTAAAACACTTTTATTCTTGGTCTAAAGTAGGAGAAATGAGAGACAAAGTCACAAGTCAATTTCCAAACCTTCCAGAATCCGGTTATAAATGGGGTGGGGGCATGTAGTTACGGAGCTTGGAGCTAAGGGACAGGCACGATAAAGGATGTCACAGTATTTCTCAAATGCTATCAACACTGATTATTCTTATCAATATTTAGTACATGGACCCTTCAGTATACTGGGGAAGAGTTCCAGGGTTCTCCTTGCATATCAAATGCTTCAGCATGCTAACTTGTATAAGCTTTATGTAAAACACTTA